ACAATCACTTACACTCACCCACTTACTTCTCACTTTTATTCATTTGAATTCACTAACAATCACTATTAATCAATGAAACTAACATACAATCACTTATAATCACTTTCACTCACCCACTTACTTCTCACTTTTCTTCATTTGAATTTACTAACAATCACTATTAATTAATGACCTTAACATACAATCACTTACACTCATCCACTTCTCACTTTTATTCATTTTAATTCACTAACAATCACTATTAATTAATGACTATAACATACAATCACTTACACTCAGTTATTCTCACTTTTATTGATTTACACTCACTCAAATTCAAACACGGTCACTTACTTATACTAACTCACAGTTACAATTACTAACATTGTCTTGTACTAATTTACACATACGTATTTCTACACATACTCACTGATACTAAATTACACTCACTAACTCTCACTTTCACTCACTTACACACACACGTACAGTTACCTTCACTCATTTGCACCCACGAGCAGTCAAGTACAGTCACTCACTAACAGCCATTTTGATTCACTGACACACTCAAAGCCGAAGCGCGTTTCCATTCATCTTTTGCGATAGCATCGGTTCATTTGGTATAAACGTGCATGACGAAGTGGTTCGGGGGTCGGGTTGTTTTGTTGCCCTGCTCGGCCTCAATTCAACCATCAAGTTGTTTCCGTCCACGTGAACTCCTCGCTCGGTTCGGCTGAAAGCGAGACCACTTCTCGTTCGTCCTTTCACGAAGATCATCACAACCAGTCTCAAATAAATCTTGACTTGACCTTTCTTAACTGGACACTTACAAGAATGAGTTCCAACTTTGACGTCCACCATGTTTTCACTAGAAACGAGGCACTACCTAATACGTATGCTTGCATGCCTGTATGTATATCTCTATCTCTATCCGTCGGTCTCTCTATCTATCTGAATGTCTGTCTGTCTGTCTATGAAGAATCAGCCATCGTCTCATGGTGCGGTGAAGCCAAGGCTGAATCCTTCACTCCTTCACTTCCATAACAAACGCAAGTCTCCACACGAAAGTGAACTGTAAGAAAAAAAGCACCAAAAACTAAGGCTCCATGCCAATTCTTCTTTACTTTCATGTAAGCGCTATTCACGAATTCCTTCCAACCAACTTTTCCGTCAAACAGAAAAGTCGGGCTGCAATAAATCAGAAGACTATTGTTTGGAACCCAGTTTGTTTACATGTCTGAGGCCTGACAGTTTGTCTTTCACCGTCAGGCCTGGATCGCATGCGTCCCTAAAAGCTCCACGACTATCAGAAAATATCAACTGATTTGGTCAGTTCCCTGTCATTTCCCTACAATTATTGGCACATTTCGATGTATAAATAAATTAAATATACATATATTATATTTGTATATATAAATATAAATAAATAAATTTATTTATTTATATACATATATTCCAAACAGTGATCAATTAAAGGAGAGTTGTATTCAGATAAAATGGGTTTTTGAGATTAGCAGTGAATGTTAAACAAGAGTTATGGTCACCCGACGTCTGAAGGACTGATAATTGAATTTTCTCACAAACATGTGAGTAGACCTCAAGAGTCCTGTCAATTGTACATTTCCTTGCCTCATGAAACGTATTCGCATCCTTTTGCCACATTCAATGTAAACGTGAGATCTATTCGCCCGATTGTGGAGAAATGAGACTATCACTCTTTCGTCACCTTGTACGACCTTGGCGGCCGTCATGGAGTTGACCAGATAAATATTCTCTATTGCTATCTCTCGTTATCTTGCTCTCTCTTTTTCACTTCGTATCCCACCTCCAAGATGTCTCACGTAGGACATATGCGCTAATCGGTAGATTTCGATATCCTCTCTCCTTTTTCGTCTGACAACAGACCCAGCAAAAGGAGTAAACCGATCTGTCAAATAGCGTTTTCTATCGTTCCTTCCGTTTCCTCCTCTGCGCGCAGTCATTGCTGACTCTTAGCTGCATTCAACAGCTTGTCCACACAATCTGCTATTCAGTCTCAAGTCCCACCAACATGAACACCCTCACAGACGTACAAACTTGAAGCAGCCGGATCCTGGTCATGCTTGTTTCAGCTCACCATTCATGCCCCTATCACATGACCATTTCGCCCACCTTTCTCGAGGGAAGCACGAGAAAACAGGTCTCAAGCTGTCTATCCCTCACAATGATTGCATTTGTTCTTCATTGAAGAGAAATATTCTCTTTAAATAACCTTAAAGGATGAGTATTGCCAAATGATGTCTATCAATAAGGTTGCGGCTTCAACATTCCTGGTTTCTATCTCTCTCACTCAGTATTTATATATTTCTTTC